TTTTTGGAAATCTCAAAGTTTGTCTGTGGCCTCATTATCTGAAATCGCACTGATGGGTTTTCCATGAGGTCACCAGGACTGAGCATACTCCTCGGTCCCGGAATGGCTTACTCTGCAAGTGTAATCATAAGCCCTTTTACTTTCTCTCAGCCCACATCATGCCAGCATAGGGGTTAGCATCTGTTGATATTTACTGATTTCAGGGCTTTAAAAAATATCTTTGCTTTTATTCCTTTCTGCATTTCTGAATACTGGTCTAGAAGCCAGACAGAACACATTGCATATACTTAGCTTCCCCTCACGGCCTCTCAGTTTCATTACATTATGCCTGGGTATTCCTGACACATTTGCATGGCATCTGCTCTGCTCAGCTACCAGAGAGAGGTCCCCACAACCAAATATGGTTACTCAGAGCTGACATTTATAGAGAGCTTACGATTTGCCAAACATTGCGCGAAACGCTTTCCAGAAGCTATCTTCATTAAAACTCACAGGACTCCTAGGAGGTAAGCTCAACTCTTTTCTCAATTTGACAAATGAGCTTAGGGAAGTTAAGTTGCCTATAGTCTGTTATTCAGTGGCAGAGCCAAAATTCAAGCACAAGTCTGGAGCTCTGAGCTACTTATTTTACGCTGAACCCTGGTCCTCTTTCCCGTTCTTGGGACTCACGCTGGGCATCTTTAGGCCAACATCTAGGCTGCCTTTTAGACTCGACTCTGGAGCAAACTTAGCTCCTTGCTTTCTCTCCCTGAGTTCCACCTACCTCATCCACCCTGGAGCCCACAGAGTCTCTGCTCCACAGACACAAAGGGCCAAGCACGTGAAAGGCAAAGATGTCTAAGACACAGGCCCTGCACACACACAAGCAGCTTGTCTTCTAATAGGCACAATTAATCAACAATTCCAGAGCGTTAGAATAAGTGCTAACATATACACAAGGCGCAGGAGTCGGCGGGGCTAAAAGCCTGTGGGAAAAGCAGTTGTGCTCTCCCACCACAGCCACAAAGGCCCCTAAGAACAGTAACAGAGACACACACACACACCCCCATTTACCTCCCTCCATACCTTCCCTCATTTTTATCTTTGATCCTTCCCAGAAACCTGAGTTACTTGACCAGAGTAGAATAGTTATGACTAACAGATTTTTCTTTAAGTGTAACCTATGCTTACTATTACAAAATAAAACAAAGTACAAACAATGCAGAATACTTTGAAATAAAAGTAAAAATTACCCATTATCACTGCTGCAAGTTATAACCAGTGTTAACAGTCCTTCCAGAATTTTAAATATATGTAAAAAATTTTAAAAACCAGAATGGTTCTTTTGCTATACATGTGGCATTTCCACAGTTATCACTGTCTTAGGCCCTCTTTCAGTGCAATATCTGTTTATATTATCATTTTAAGACTATAAAACATGGCATTATATGTATCCTCAATTATTAAGACAATAACTTTTTTTTTTAAAGATTTTATTGGGAAATTGGGGGAAGGGGAACAGACAAGTTGCTGTCGTTTTGTTCTTTAGTCTAGTTGTGGAGGATGTCGCTTCACTGGCCCATGTTGGTATTATCATTGCGCTCTTCTCGGGTGAGGCAGATCAGTCACCGGCCTCTGGACGGCTGCTCACGGCGGCTCTTGGCAGCTCACACCGGCTGCCGGCCACACACGGTAGCTTATGGCAACCCACTGCAGCAGGGGCTGCAGCCTACACCGTCGCCGGCAACTCATGGCAGCCCAGCTCCAGGTTGAGCTGTTGTTCATCATCTTAGCTGTAGAGGACAGTGTCACTGGCCCTCATGTGGGATCTGAACCAGGGTCCTCTGGCGTCCCAAGCGAGCTCTTAACCAACGCGCCACTCGGCCGGCCCAAGACAATAACTTCTTGATGAACATTTAACTTGTTTCTGGTGTTTCCTTTTATAAATATTGTTGCAGTAAACAGCATAATACACGTTGCTCAGATTCTCATTTCTCTTAAAAGTAGAATGGTTGAGAAAGGATATGTGCTGTTTAACATTCTGATGTATATTAACAAATTTCCCTTCAGAAACATTGCACCAACTTATATCTTTACCAATAATGTAGAGCTGTGATTGGCAGTGTCTGCTCCCTACAAACTTCTATCCTTTTTAATATTTGTGCATCTGATAGGTATAAAATGTTTGTGTTTTCACTCTAATTCCTTTGATTACTAGTAAAATGAATACCTCTTCATGGGTTTCATACCCATTTGTCTTTTTGTGTGTGTGTGTGTAATGTGTCTGTCCATATTTGCTATTTTCTTTTGGGGGTATTTACAAAGAACTCTTATAAATAAGAAAAAATATAGTAAAGATATCAATCCTCTCATATGCTGTGAATATTTTTATCCAGTTCTTCATCTTTAAAGTTATTAATGATCTAGAAGTTGTAAGTTGAGGGTTGTTAACATTATTGGTCTTATCCTTTATAATGTTAGGTCTTGGTGTTATTCTTCAAAAGGACTTCTCTACCTCCAAATTACAGAACTGTTCTTCGATTCAATCTTCTGTTTTACTTTTTTATTATTTAAATTTTCAAAAATATACAGAAAAGTGGAGGGAATAGCTAAATGAATACCCAAATGCATCTAGATTTGTAAGTTGTTGACACTTTGCCATATTCATCATTTTTTCTCTTTTTGCTTAAGTATTTTAAAGTAAGTCACACACATCATGCCATTCACTCTAAATACTTCAGTATATATCTGTAAAGAATAAAATTAATTTCCAAGTCAGTGGAATCTTTGTCTTTCTCAAACCTGCCTCATCATTATAAGCTCAAAGGTCATAAATTACATAATTCACAGTGTGCTTGTCACAGCTCTCCTGCAAATTTAAGTATGAATGTAGACATTTGCATTTTTGAGATTTACTTTTATGTATTCTGTAAGACAGTAGTTACTAAGTATTTATTATGTGCAGGGTCCCATGCTAAGCATTTGATGTAATTTTCTAACTTAATCTTTCTGACAGCTCAGGGAGGAAGACTCTGTCATTCGATTTTGTAGTCTTGTTTTTCTTTCTAGGGAATAAATTAAGTTCTTTCTATCACTGAGCTTTCCAAATGACCTTAGATTTTAGGATAAACTCAAATTGGTTACTTTCCCATCACACACAATGACAAAAGCCAGAATAGTGATTTACATCTAATTAGAAGGTTATTTTACTTAGCTTTTATCTGCCATAATTTGTATTTTCCTAGTCTTTGAAGCTTTTATAGTTTTCTGTTTCTAACATCAAGAAGAAATTTCACAGCTGCAACACCTCTGATGTGATAATAAACTCTATCTTCAGATCTTCAGAATTCTTCTCCTATTTGCTTTAGTGTTCCCTATTTGCTTGTCAAGAAACATCAACATTAATTTTCCGAACTTACCAAGCACACATAGCATATTGCACAAAGGATCACAGTTTTGCTGTCTATTTTCCTGTTTCCCTAAGTTAATTACAGCAGTAGCAACAGCAGCAGCAACCACTACACACACACACACACACACACACACACACACACACACACACACACACGAAGAGATTGAGAGAGAAGAGGGGACATCTTCGGAATTGTATTGAAATGTATAATTGCTATAGAAATCCATATGAATATGATGAGCATCTACCCAAATAAGTGAAAGCCTCTTGTCCTTATATGAGTCAATGAATTTCTTACTTATTTCTAACTTGTCATTGACTCTTATTCCTCATTAACTGACTTCTGAGGAAATCCCATAGCATCAGAGGCTCTGAGCCTGGTATTTTGTACATACACTAGAGGAATACACAAACTGTTGTATTCAAGCTAGCCAGACTCTTGTTTATTCAAGTTTTTCCTTATTTTTAGAAATCTTATATGTAGTTCTTCTCTTCAGAATGTGTCATTGGCTCTAGGATAATGGATCATTGGGATGTTTGGAAGACTGAATAGAGTCCGTGTTCTTTTCCAGTGGAGAAACAAGTGGACTCTTGGTCTCCAGACCTTTCTGAACATCTCTCACATACGATCTGTGGTGTTTTAATTAACCTACTTTCTTATTTTCCCCTTAACTTTGTTCTGCATTTGCTCCACACATTTTAGACTGGCACATTTATATTTCTTTAAAAAAATATTTTAAAGGTTTTATTGGGGAATTGGGGGAGAGGAACAGCATTGGGGAATCGGGGAAGGGGAACAGACAAGTTGCTGTCCTTTTGTTCTCCAGTCTAGTTGTGGAGGACATCGCTTCACTGGCCCATGTTGGTATTATCATTGCGCTCTTCCCGGGTAAGGCAGTTGCTCACCGGCCACTGGATGGCCGCTCACGGCGGCTCATGGCAGCTCATTAAAGTGCACGCCCGCTGCTGGCCAGCCCCACTGCATCCTACGCCATCGCCGGCGACTCATGGCAGCCCAGCTCCAGGTTGAGCTGTTGTTCACCATCTTAGCTGTAGAGGGCACAGAGTCACTTGCCCATGTGGGATCCGAACTGGGGCCTTGCTGCTCAGAGCTGGCGTCCCAAGCCAACTCCTAACCAATGTGCCACTCGGCCGGCCCCTTAAATTTTTTTTATATTGACTCAACATTCATTTACTGCTGTGAATTAGTTAATTGATGAATCCTTGTGACTAAACAACGAAATGTCTTGATCATTCTGTAGAGTTATGATAATTCAGGTGCTGATTGATTACAGTGTATTGGTTTCCTGACATAAAATAATATAATATATAAAATAATTATTTTCTAATAATGTGAATTCCAAGTAAGTAGCATGGGCTTTGAAGTTGGTTCTGAGTTCTGTCAAGCATTAGTTGTGTGACTTGAAGATTAGTTAGCTCCTCAAAACCTAGTTTCCCCTCCCTCTGTCAAATTGGGCATGGTCACTGTCCCACCCCTGCAGATTATATTGAAGCACCTTAAGCATTTGGCACATAACTAACTCTCAGAAACATGTAGTAGTCATTATTATTTAAATATTTGGCAAAAATTTTTAAGCATATGTCTTCTTGATTGTGTTAAGAATAGAGGAAGGATAACATATTCCCACATTCTCTGTTTATTTTCAAACAGCTATATTTCAGGAAAAATATGTGGATTGTAGAGCAAGTTATAACTTGATGATCCAGCATTCTGTGAAACACAGCCTTTGAAATTGAATGTTAAATAAGGGGTAGTTTACATAAAAATCCCAGTATAATCCTTGTAGTTACCATGGAGGTCTCATTTTTTTTTTGGTTTTCTATACCAGTGAATCTGATCTTAATTGTTTTTCAGTTTTAAAATAAATTGCTTACCTTTGTAGGAAGGTGGTACATGGACATTTTTGCAACAATGAAATGTTCCTTTTTATTTAGACACAGCAACCTGGGGATTCCTGGAGTGTGGGCTTTTCATATTGGCAGCACCTCCCCCTTGGACAATGTCAAGCCAGCAACAGTCGGAGGAGACCTTTCCAAAGCCCGCTCTTCGGCTCCGCTGGAACATTCCTTCAGCCATGCTGCAGCCCTGGAAAGCGACTACACTGAGGACGATTTGGATTATTATGATGAGAATGAGGAGGAAGTTGAATACCCCCCGAGTGAACCAGAGTTGGCCGCGAATGGCCACAGCAGTGTCGATGTTTCCTTCTCCTCAAAAGCTGATTCAAGGCATTTCGCAGTTGGTATCTCTCCTTCAGATAACAACCTGGCCTCCCCTTTGCCACATTCAACACCTCGGCCACTCTACCCTGAAACAGAATCTGCCACCTTGGACCCTCAAATCAAAGAGAGGAGACCTGTAGGGGAGATAGGTGTCCCTCAAATAAGAGAGCGAGTAGAATCTGCTGAACAGCCAGGGACCAGAGGCCCAGCTGCAACAGAGACAGAAGGAGATTCACTGGACCCTTCCCGGGCAACCCCACCTCCCTACCTTGAAAACAGAAACATGCAGCCCTATCCAGATGGAGGGGCACTGCCTTCAGAAAGGGATGTCCCTCCGGCCGAGCCCGAAAGAGAGGTGGTTCTGCCAGGTCACACTCCACCATGGGGTCCTGGGAGACACGTGGTAGGGGTAGAAGACAACATCAGATCCAATGCGGAGGGTAAGTGGGTTAGAGAAAACGGGTGCTATGATTCTGTTTAAAAAATGCTGGTTTTATATAAAGTCGTGACTTTTCTCTCAAGCGAGGACGTGGAAAGTTTAGCAAAAAGAAGATTGGAAAACTGATTTTTCAAATCCATGTTTCAGAAGATAGAGTATCTTTCCTTTGCCAAATACATCTTGGCAGGCAAATTCTGTTTGGAATCTCTTGACCATTAATAATGTTTTTTTTTAAAACATGGGCCTCATGAAGCGAGTAGGGAAGAACTGGGCTGCTCGTGCCAGCTCTGCTCTCAAGTGTAATGAAGTATTTCAGTTTGAAAGTTCAGCAAAGGTAAAAACATTCTGAGGCTGCATACACATTACAGTGATGAAGGGCGGAAGGCTTTGGTTTTAAGTGGCTAGTCATGCTGGCTCAGATGAACATTCCAGATTCTTACTCTGGTCTGGGATAACCCTTGTGCTTCCCTGGGTTAGAGCTACTCGGTGGTGTGTGGGAGAGGATGCCCATGGGGAAAGAAACTTGCTAACCACCTGTGTCTTTTCATTTCTGGTTCATGCCTTGCAGCTGTGGTATTCACCTCCCAGGAGCCTTGTCCTCATTTCATGACTCACTGACCAGGGTGAGGGGCCAGGAGAGAAATGCCAAGAGGAGGCAGTGGTTAATTAATACAGACATGGAGCCCATGTCGCCTTCTCTTCCTAGTTGAGACTTGTCATGTCAGCTCTTTCTTCTCAGTCAGGGATGTCAACACATGAATGGGAAATGGACTACAGATTCATTCCATTTATTCCAGGGACCGATCATCTGACCTCTCACAGGAAGAAAGAGGTCAGAGGTGAAGTCATTCTTCAGGACCTCCTTTTCTTTCCACACCTTTTCTGTTTCCTATCCCTTTTGTTTGTAAAAACATGTTGACCTAGCAAAGAGGGTCTTCTGGGTTCTTTTGCTGTGGTATCGAAATTGCTTGAAGAAGGGCTTACTTCAGGAGGGAAGAAACTATTTTGTGACTAAAATGATGTTATGTAATGATTACAGTGAGAGTGTTGGTGTCAAACTTAGGTTTGCGTCCTGGCTCCTTGTTGGGTGACATGAGGCAACTTATGTAACTCCTAAACTTTTTGAGAGGATTAAATGAGATAATAACTTGTTTATATTAGTATCTGAACTAGTTTGTTCTTAGTAAATGGTGGCTGCTGTTACTAATTATAGAACATGTATAGCAATGGGCTTGGTGTGGGGGAATAGGTAGAGAGTAAGGAATGGGCTTGTTAAATAGTTGTGCCTTAATTTATACCTAAGGGCAACGTTTCTGTCAAGTTGAAGATGTGCCTTTTATTGGAAGGCTTCAGAACCCTCAGGCCCTTCTGACAATCTCCTGACTTTTCAGCATAAGTTCTGTATATCTGAAGAAAATTTAAAGCCAAGTGTGAAAGATTTTTAGCAGAGGAATTTTGAGGTAAAGATGTATTCCTAAATGGTGTTTTCATTTTTGACTTCCTGCCCTGAGAAGAGGCTGGAATATTAAAAAGCAGACCCATAGAATGATTTATTAAAGAGTGAAGAGGAAGGGGCTGCACCCCCAGCTTTGAGCTGTGAGAGGTTGGGATCACTGGGGTAACAGTGGAGGAAGTTAGGGAGCTGGCCACAGAGAACAGGGGCGACAGCCATAACCCTTCTGGGGTGTGAACTATGATGTTTATCAGCTGCTGGGCAGCGTCTACTACTGACATCTTGGAAATGGTAGCGTGCATATGCAAAAGCTGGTTAATATACACTGAGACATTTAGGGAAAAAAATCTAACTAGAAGTTTTTGAACCCTGGAGAAAAAAATCAGCAACCACCATGTTAGAGAGCAGAGAGGGAAAACTTTAAAACTTGAAAACAGAGAAGGGACATAGGTGAGCATCTATTTTCACCACAGGCTTTAGGAAGACTGTGACATGTAGAACCATGCAGTTGTTAGATACTTTGTTTTTTGGTCAGCGAACTTTTTTTTTCTTCAGATGAAACATTGATGCCTTAGAGGTTATCAGGTAAACGTGGACTCCCCCTGGGGAAGCTGGTGGATAGGGGTGGCAGAGACACAGAGCATTGCCTACTAACGGCCCAGCCATGGCCCGTCCTGCCTGGCCTTTCCCATGGATGGAGTAGAGGAGCATGGATTTTGGTGTTAGGTGGACTTGAGCTTGATTTTCAGCTCTGCTCTGTGATTTGGGGTAAGAAGATGTGCTCCGTTGGGCCATCTTTTCCGTCCACTCTAAAAGGAAGAAAATGTAGATCTCATTAAGTAGTTGGGAGCATTACAATTGGGCATGGAAACACCTTGCCCAATGAATTTTAGTTTCTCCTTCAAGCTTCGTAGTAGTCATCTTGCTAAAACAAGAAATTAAGATTTAGTTCAAGGCTCCCCAAATATCTCTCCCTTATCTTTTTATTTTAATTTTTTTCCCTTAAGGACTCTTTTTGTTGAGAAATCTAGATTCTTTTCAGATGATGTCTACACCCGGCAGGAATGTCACTCTATTTCTGGCCTCAAGTATATTATTTGCTTTGTTCTGTTTTCACAGACCACAGAGCCAGCAATAAAATGGGAGTGCAAGTATCTTCTGTCTAAGGTGTCTTGTTTCTCCAGGGAGCTCCAGTAGTTTGTTGTCTAATCAGAAAGTTACCTGAGTACCTGCCATGTGCCATATCTGATCGAGGCACCAGTGGGAGTGCTCACTGGTATTTATTGAGTGCCCACGGGGACTGTAAGAGGGTGCTTTGCTGTAATTGTGCTGTCATGGTTAGTCCTCAGAATTGCCCTGTGAGAAAGATGCTTACCCTTCCCATTTTACAGAGGAGGAAACTGAGGCCTGGAAAGAACTGTATGATTTGTCTAAGTAAGAGGAAGACCAAGGCGTCAAGGAAGCAAGCTGTCAGGTAACACAGCGAAGAGCAAATCCACGTGTATCAAGTCAGGGAAGTTGTTGTGAAGGAGGAGGGGCTTGAGCCAGGCCTTGAGATCAGAGTCTGAATTTAGAGAGGGAAAAAATGGGGAACTATTCTTGACGAAGGGGTGACTGAGGTGGAAATGGAGAGAGAGTGTGTGTGTGTGTGTGAGTGAGTTGAGGGGAATGGACATGAAAGAGGAGCTGCCCGTGAGGGCTAGTGCTGATCAGGACGGTGACTGCCTGTATCTGGGGAGTAGAAATGAGTGTGACTTACCTGCTGAGGTGGTGCTGTTGATGCCAGCAGGGTGAATCTGCTGGAGTCGGGACTCAAGCCCTGGGCCAAGAGGTTCTTGGCTTCCTGTAGGAAGGAATTCAAACATGAACCAAATAAAGAGTTTAAAGGGAAAGTTTATTTAGCAGAGAGTAAGTAGGGAAAGAAAGGCCACCCCGCAGACAAAGTGGCAATCTCTAATTGTGAGTGGAAGAGAGATCTCCTCCACCCCATCGAGGTAGGCTTTATATGTTTCTTGTTTCCATGGAAAATTTATTGTATGGGGAACTTCTGCAAGGTACAAGAAGAATGGGGGCACGTGTACCTTTAACTTTTGTAAGGTGCAGCCCGCGTCTATTTTGTAATAGGTTTAATTATGGGAATGGCCATTACCATGGAATCGCTTTGGTCAATAGGCTTCGGATGGTCTGTTCCGTGTGATTGATTGTTTGCCTGAGTTCTGTGTCTGGCAGCTTGTAGGTGGCAGGCTTGGAATCCAACCTCCTAGTTCCTTCTGTAAAAACAGTTCTCATGCCCCTTCCCCATATTACTGTGAGGAGCTCCATCTAACCTGAGCCTGCATGATGAATTAGAAAGGGGGAGGGACACCTGGCGTTCAGAAACCTCAGGGCATCCATGCTCCGTTATGGGGACCCTCTTGCTGCCCCTTAGATGGCAGTCATGCTAGAAGAGCCCAGTTGTGAAGAGGATTTCCCTGTGGCTTCTAGTCTAACTCTATTTTTGGCCTTGGGAAAGGCTGCAGGAATGTGTTGCTCATGCAGCTACTCCCCTGGAATGAATTGGAGCTCTGCTGCCCAACCCAGCCTTCCAGGCAGGAAGCCCCTCTCTGAGTGCACCTCCAGGTCACTGAGGGTCTGTGACAGGAGGGCCCCCATACCTGTGAAGACCTATATGGGAGAGCCTGCTGGCGTCATGACAATGGATGTACGAGATCTAACAATTAAGTTCGCAAACTCATCCTAGAAAAAGTGCTACCTACCACATTGCTGAATATCACTATGGTCACCTTCAAAGTACTCCCCTTGGGAAGCTATGCACCAACGCCAGCGCCTAGCCCACTCTTCACAGCGATTTTGGAACTCTTTTTCTGGAATGGTCATCAGAGCTGTCATTGTGTTAACCTTGATGTTTTGAATGTCATCCAAATGTCTTCCTTCCAATATTTTCTTTATCTTTGGGTAAAGAAAGAAGTCGTGGGGGTCAGAACAGGTGAGTAGGGAGGGTGTTCCAATACAGTTGTTTATTAGTTAATAACTCCCTCACAGAGAGTGCTGTGTAAACTGGTGCATTGTCATGATGCAAGAGCCATGAATTGTTGACAAAAAGTTCAGGTCATTTTCGTCTAACTTTTCCACGCAGCCTTTTCAGCACTTCCAAATAGTAAACTTGGTTAACTGTCCAGTTGGCACAAATTTATAATGAATAATCCCTCTGATACTAAAAAAGGTTAGCGACATCGTTTTGACTCTTGATTTGGACTGATGGAACTTTTTTGGTCATGAAAAATTGGCTGACTTCCATTGTGCACTTTGACGCTTTGTTTCAGGGTCGTATTGGTACACCCATTTTCATCACCAGTGATAACATGGCCCAAAACACCGTCTTGCCTCTCCAAAAGGTCTTGGCAAACTTCAATTCTCCTTTGCTTTTGTTCATTGGTGAGCTCCTTCAGGACCATTTTTGCACACACCTTTCTCATGCCAAGATTTTTAGTTAAGATTTTCCTAACTGTTTCTGTATCGATGTTTACTTGGTCTGCTATGCTTCTCAC